ACCCGTTTCAAAAAGAATTTTCAGTTTCCGATTCACCGATTAAAATTAATAGAAAAAACACCAAAATATATGGGAAAGAAATTGTTTAATAAACTGCAACCAAAATATAAAGATTTAATAAACAAAACGTCTTTTAAAAGCAGCCTTGCCTCATTTCTTGTAAACAAAATATATTATAGTATTGACGAATTTTTGAATGATGGTAATTTTTTAAATTAGCAAATATTATGTTTTATAAAATAACCCAAATAATTATTTGTAAGAATCATTGTTTATTTTTTAGTATTTTAGGTACTTATTATGATATATGATTATATTGACAATGTCACCTGTTTTTGTAGCTTATGCTATGTAATCTGTAAAACGTTTATGTGACAATAAAGATATATTTATTTATTTATTTATTTAACATCCATGAAAAAATCAGCCTTTCACTAATTACTTCCGACAAAGCGCTATTTTTTCCCTTTATTGACTGGGCTAATAGCCTACAACTCATGGATTGCTGTCACATCTGGCATCTGTTTATTGTTAGGCTCGGTCCGCCGCGCGGCACATCCCTCGCACCCGACTGACAATAGCCGCCAGTTACTCAGTACCTACTTGGCAATGAGGAAACCTGCCCATTTCTAAGAGGTGTAACACTTTGGTTAAAATCTTGGATTGGACCTCTGTCTGTACATTCTGTCATTCTGTCTGTGACGCCAAAATGTCATTTTACGCAGCCTACTCCTAGAAAACTAGTGTAGGCCTACCGATCAACGTTCAAAGCATTTGTCTGTATTTAAGACTGATGAGAGTGTCTTTGGCTATATCATAGATAAAGCATACTTATGTTTTATCTATGGCTATATAAACATGGCCTCGCTTCTTTGAAAACAAAATAACGAACTATCAAAAAACACAATTTTGTTAGATTTTTGTCAAATTTCTTCCAATCTATCTATATATATATTCTATCTATCTTCTATATATACAGGGTGAGTCTTCTAAGCTGTCCTGAACAGATTACAGACGTACGGCTTGAAATACAGAGATGAAACAAAACTTTTCCCCACTAATTCATACCCAAGGAACAACGTAAAAATATCCTTGGGTATGAATTAGTGGGGGAAAGTTTTGTTTCATCTCTGTATGTCAAGCAATTCGTCTGTAATCTGTTTAGGACAGCTTAATAGAAGACTCACCCTGTATAATACGCTAAGCCGATTTTTGTGAACAGAACTCCTCCCTCATTTTTGGACCGATTTTGATGATGGAAGTGTCAAAAGAATGGTCCTGATCTGTAGTTTTGCAAAGTGTTTTTATTTTTTTGAAATCTTTATTAGTTCGGGCTTGATCTTCCATCAAAGTTGTGCTGCAATCGCTGGAACATACCGCAAATCATGGTCCATAGCCCATCTCTTGGGTAGGCCCTACGCAGGCCTAATTATTCACAACCACATTTCGATAACGATATCGGTACTTTTCCCTAAAATACATAGCCTTCCTACTTAGGAAGTAAAACTACAAACGTCCAAAACCCCAGATTTGTGCGTTTTTAGTCACATTTCCTCCGAATGTTTGCTAGATATACCGATCATCGTTTAGAGATTACGTAATCTTTTAAATAAGACACCTTTGTTTGGATAAAGGTGGTTTCTTCAAACAGTCATTATTATGTTAACATTAAAAGTTACTTACAAATAATGCTATTAATGGGAAATAACTTTGATTTTCGAAAACTTAAAAAAAAAAAAACCCAGGGAGATTAATAACTTTGGCACTGATACCACATCAAGTGAAAGATTTTTTGAACAAACTAACATGAATTTTTAAAGCCTTACGTTGTTAATGTATCAATGTTTTTTGGCCTGTGTATTTATTTATTTATATATTTGCCAACGGGATGACACCTATAATAAAGTTTGATTACAAGGACAGTTTGAATTAGTCGTAAGTACTATAGTTCTTTTCTCAACTGTAAACGTTGGTTTTTGGTACTGACTTGTACTTTTCCTCAGAACCGGTGGTAGCAGTAAGAATCATTTTTACGTACAAACACATCACTATTTATAGCTTAGTTATCGTTAGTGCTGCACCTTATTGCTTATTAAATTTAATTGATGTCTTACTGTATAATTTTTGCGTATAAAATTGATTTTGAATACACATTATGTCCGTTTGAAAGTAGTTTTTTTTCCCCTTATGGCCTATTAAAAAGTTTTAAACTCGTCTAAATAATGTTAATATGGAAAATGCAGTGTTCAATGGTTGACATACCAGATTTAGTTAAACTGTATATATTATTTTTTAAGCTGAAATTCCCTTCTTGATGTTCACGTAATTTTTTTATGAACATTTGGATTTTCCTTGCAATCGATGATAACGGAAATTTCCATATTCGGAAATACGCATAAGCTTGAATAACAAAAGACGTACATTAAACACTAATATGTAGGTATGTAGGTTTTTGCTTTTTCAGTAAATTGAAATTCAGCGAGTCTGTGTGTTTTCTGCAGTAGAGAAAGTATTGTGTCATTTACATCTATCTATAATATTAAAACGTAACAGGGGTTTTTTATTTCACGATTCTGAATCAACCACTCGACGGATTTTCATGATTTTTGTGTTGAAAGACAGATAATTTTGAGAACTAGGGAATGTCGAAGCCATAATTTTAGTTTAGGGTCCCAGTTTGTTTATAGATTAAGTTATAATTTTTAAAAAGTCTAGCAGCCGACGCTAAGATTCTAAACTAACTTTTGGTATAATATAATTTGCTTTACTCTGATTTTGTCATTGATTATAAAAAATAAGTAAGATTAGTAGACCACCGAGATAAGTAACACCATCGATGTATACAAGTCGAGGGTCTGTACACGAGTCTTAAAAAAAGGGATATGCAAATTATTTTACTGCTCAACCTTTTGAGGAAAGGGTAGGAAAATCACAATTTTTACATGTTTTAATTCATCTTGGTAGCTTTATGTTTACAATTAATGTTTTTGAATGCTTAAACTTTGTTTGGATCAGGCCTGGAAATATTGATGTCATAAAAAAGGAGATCAAGAATCATCACAAATCACGGTTTTAAATTACCACCACAACCTCAGACGGGTTTTATGCAAAGATATACAGATGAATGACATAGATTGAACACAACGTCATCATTGACCTAGGATACTGCAATTAGATTAACCATCTTTTTATGAAATCTAAAAATTTGTTTGGCGTGTGTTTGTTTAGTTGTGTTTACGTTTGGTGGCGCTGAAGTATGCAAAATATCACTTTTATTTCAACTGAATATTTTATAGTTTAAATAAATGAATATGGGGAATTACGATGTGCATTGATTCAATGAGGGTGGTTTAATTATCAAGGATATTAGAACTGATAACGGTGGATAATCAACATAGACAATTAATTACGTCACTAGCTTTACTAGAGTGTTAACTTTTTAAATTCCTTCAACATGTGATTCTTTTTTTAAATGAATATTATTTTATTTTTGACTCAGATGTTTACAAAACAAACTATATGTTGTTGTTTTTACTTTACTTTATTTACACTTATTTTTTTAGCAATTGATGCAGTGAAATTGATATAAATGATATGTGTGGACGATTCGTTTAATGATATCAGGACACCAACGTTGTATTATGTGTACTGTGAATGTTATTGGATGTTTTCGTTTTATTTTATGGAGTTTCTATTCAGACCTACTGGAAATTGTGTATAGTATGAGAAATTGTATAGGTAGTGGTGATATTGATTATGGAAGAGGCAGGTAGGCGATGGAAGATGATATCGTTGACTAGGCCTATACACTTCTCACTTTGATAATTACTCTTTCTACTGTAGGCTGCAATAAAATTTGTCTTTATACGTGTAAGCTAGCTGTTCTGAATTATACACAGTTTTAACCGACTACTCCCGTACGTAGGACGGGCTAACACCTCGTACAAAATTAAAATAAAATGATATTCAATTGGGTTACAGAAAGTGCTTAGTTTGTGTTTAAAAAACTATACCGATACTTCATTTTACCGATTTCCGTATGTGTCATCAACATCAATATTAATATTTTGATGTCTTCTACCTTCGTGTGCTCTATCTGTGGGATCGAGTTGTCGAAACACAACGACTGTTGGCTGTAGCTGGTAGGTAACGAGCACCCGGGGTTTGGGGTCTAGAAGTGAAAGTTTTGCTCGGTCGATCACAGGGGTAAACACCCTCGGCCGCCGACCTAGGACCCAACTCACACACCTGTCACCCAAGCGCGGGAACAACGTTCTGTCTAAAACTGGAAAAACAACGTCCTGCTTTTAACCAAAATGACCTACGTAGTTTGGATCAACTCGGCCCAGCGCGCCACCGTCAGTTCGAACCAAGGCCCTAGGTACCACAGACTCTTAAGTTATCGTGTTCACGAGCCAATTAAAAATGTTGGATTTGAAAGTGGAAAGAAAAAAGCTGGCTGCCTAGGGAGGCTCAGACAGCTTGTTATAAAATTTCACTCAATTTGTGATTGCCAGTCTGTGATGGGGTATGTCCAGCTGTTCTTTTTCTTTGTGTGAAGTGTGAATGGTAGTCCTGCCTGGTGGAAAACTCATTTAAATTAGCTTTTGTGTATATGTAAGAACGGTGTAGATGTATAAATTTACGATTGTGCAGATGTTTAGTCTGATAAAAAGTGGTTTGCAGAGATTTAATTTTAATTTTAAGATTTAATGGGACATTAACTTAGATTGGACTAATGGTATTGTAACTTATCTAGTCTTTCGGTTAAGTTACTTAAGACAGACAGCTTCCATGAATAAGATGATTGAGAATGGTTTGATGTGTGAGTGAATAAGTTAAATATTGATTGTTTTCCTGCCAGCTTCCCTATTTTAGATAAGCTGTGTAGGTACTTTACCCAGGAAATGCTCTGTGGGTTGCAAGTAGGGCCTAAAAAGATTGAAACTGTTTTAAAAAGTTAAAACTGTTCCTGTCTGACGTTCATACTTGATTTACAGGATCCCAGTTTTGGAGAATTTATCACAAAGGAATATGGGCTTTTGAAACAGATCCTATCGTACCTGACCAAGCCCAATGACCTTTACCGTGCAAGATTAGTTTGTAGGTAAGCATACCTTAAACATTTCTGACTCTGAGTTTAAAAAATAGGTCTACCCTTATTTATTAAAAAAAATTTATAGTTTATGATATTGCAGGGATATAGACGTTTTAAATTTTGTATATTAAATAGGCCTAGATCCAAGATAACTAGGTTTAACAGAATGGAGGGATAACAGAAATTCAGTATAGGCTGTATGGAATCAGGAAATTTGGAATAACTGACAATAGACTACCGGTACGGCTGAGGATACTTTCATTAACGGCCTTACATAAGTTTACTTTTATGGTTGTTGTGCTCTAAGCAGAATATAGCCGTTTATAGTAATAAAAATCATTATTTTGAATTTTTCCATGCAATTTTACTGTCTTTTTGTCCAGTCCGAACAATTTGGTAATTCAAAAATGGGTTCACTGGAATTCTTCTGATAAAAATAAATAAAAGTGATTGTTACAATTTTACTTATAAAGCACTTCGGGACAAACAAGCAAATTCAAGTTTATTTTACCAGTCCATTGGTCCTTTGTACTTACTTGTTCCTAACAATAGCGGTTTGTACTGAAAAGTAGGCTATACTACCAGCTTCAGAAACAACATACTGTAAATGGTACCTCATTAGAGTTTGAACCTATAATTTAGAAGTTTCCAATGAACTTAAAACTGCTTGCACTAAAATAGTACACACGACATTGGTTCTACTGTTTTCAGGGAGTGGAGGAAGGCCGTTGACAATCTTGTAGAGAAGAAACCAATTGTAATTTCTTACAAACATGGTCAAAAAGATCCGATGCCTTTACCAAACACACCGATTCTACCTCACCTAGTGATATTTCAGAATGTAGTGAAAAAAGAGTATTTGAAACCTAAATGCACAGTCTGTAAGTAGTCTGATGGATTGATTGATTTAACTTATTAGTATGTTAAAATGTGTATTACATAACTTTGATTGCTGCTTTTAAAATAAATTACTCATGTATATTACTGGATTGTAGATTTTTGATGATTTTTGTTTTGTACGTATTTTAGATTGTAGGCTATATAAATTAAAAAGCTTTTTAATAGATTTTGGGGATTTCCATTGAGTTAATTACCATTAGTTGAGTTACTTTTTATGTTGTTTATCCATAAAAAGATGCACGTGTAAAAAAATATTAGCCCAATTTTAGTGAATTTCCTATCTAAGGAATAAGCTACTACCACCGTAGTTTGATTTACCCAGCTACTACTACCCAGGACCGATTTAATTTTACATTTTGATATCCCAGAGGCCAAAAACACTGTCCACTCAAATTCATATCTATATATTTTTATAGCCTACCCTACAGCCTATAGTTCGCAAACCAGCTTGATTGGACTATGGGAACAGGGTTTTATTGAGGTTAATTGAGCGTTTTATGCCCGGGGTAAAAATTAGTTTTTCCCACATTTAGCAACTTTTTGTTTAGGCTATTTCATACTAATCTATCAAAATGTAAAAAAAAAAAAAAACACATTATTTACCTTCCTGATAGAAGCAAACCTAGGAACTTCCTAAACTTAAAATAGTTTTAGTAGAAAATAAATCTGCCCATTAATATTAAGGGAATATTTTAGTAAAATCCAACCAGGTAAATAGAAATTCGCTTAGTCTGCAGTTTTGCTGCAGCGGGGGTATTATGTAGTGGTTGTTTCACAATGTTTGGTCTTTCTAGTTCCTTTGTATAGGTCAACGATATTGCCCTTTTATGTAGTCAAATATGAAATCTGAAAAACTGAAGAGTTTTACAAGCAATCTTAATCGTTGTTATTTTCAGGTAAACAAAGATTAATGATATGTGATTGTAGACTAATGGGACCACGAACTGGAATGTTAAAGTTGGGTCCTTCATTTTCAAAGACGCCGTATAAGCGTAAGTATTCCATCCTCATAACCTCACAAAAATCAATGAATAAAATGTCAGTCAACACCAGAGAATGTTACACCCCTAGGGACAATACCCTGATCTTTATTAAATTGCTTTGCTACATAAGCCATGCCAGATTGCCTAATTAAATTAAAACTCTGTAAAAAAAACAGAGACTGACAAGTGATCCAAAGACTGATAGCGAATTAATCAATCAATCAATCAATCAATCAATCTTTATTCAATACATACAACAAGTGTACATGAATGTGTCATCAACCTAAAACTACTTCACATGATTTCACTTACTTCCCTACTTGCTTAGTCATACAGTTTTTTTGTTACATTGTTCAAAACTTTCTAAACTATAAAATTCACTATAAATTAAAAACCCCTTAAGTTTATTTTTGAATTTATTTACGCTACTTTCGTTTCTAATACTGCTGGGGAGGGAATGCATGAATTTGATTCCAATATAATTAGGACTTTCCTTAAATTTTTCTTTTTTATGTTTTTTAGTTATGAAGTTTAGTTTGTTTCTAGTGTTATAATTATGTACGTCTTTCTGTCTTTGAAGTTCTGATTCATGATTTTTAACATACATTATCGTCTTATAAATATAGAGACTGAAAACGGTAAAGAACTCTAATTCTTTAAAATGATTTTTACAGGATTCGTTTATATCGAGATTAAGGATACACCTAATGGCTTCTTTTTGTAAATGTAAAATTTTGTTTAAATTGAATTTACTTGTTCCACCATAAATTTCTATACCGTAAGAAATATGTGAGTGAATAGTAGCAAAGTAAACCTTTCTTAAGATTTCTCTGTTGCATAATGGATATAAGCGTCTAATAGCAAAAATACTTGAACTGATTTTATTACATAAGTTGTCAACATGTGAGGTCCAATTAAGTGTGCTATTTAAGGTGAGGCCTAAAAATTTAGTTTCATAAACAAAATTGTTAAACAGTTCTTTTCTAGATTTTTTAGATTCAAACTCAATGAACGTTGTTTTATTTTCATTTAGTAAAAGATTTTTTTCATTCAAGTAATCTTTAATTATTGTGAGTGAATCATGAGTTTTATTTATAAGAAGCTCCATATTCTTATCATAAATCGACATACTTATGTCATCTGCATACAAGCACAGAGTATTATTTTCTACATGTTCAAATAAATGTTTTGGCATCCCTCCCAAGTAGCACAAGAACAAGAATGGGCCCAACACTGATCCTTGTGGCACTGAGTATTTTACTGTCCTAACCTCAGATTTAATATGGTACATTTTATTCCCACTTAAATGAACAATGTTAACAAACTGTTGGCGTCCCTCCAGATAAGATTCAATCCAGCTTAACTCTTTGCCACCAATTCCATACATTTTAAGTTTATTTAGTAACTTTAAATGGTGCACGCTGTCAAATGCCTTGGACATATCCAAAAAGGCACCAATAACTTTGTTGTCCTCATCCAACTTTTCCAACACATTTTCAATATAAGATATAAGTGCTGTAGTGGTGGATTTGTTTTTTCTATAACCATGCTGCTCTTTATCTAATAAGTTATTAATTTCAAAATAATCCACTAGCTGAAAAAGAAAGCATTTTTCAAATAATTTTGAAAGAGCTGGTTGAATTGCCAATGGTCGATAGTTATTTGGATCTTTTTTGTCTCCTTTTTTATATACCGGGATAATTTTTGAAATTTTCAGCTTATCAGGATAAACACCTGTTATAAGTGAAGTATTAATGACGTGTAAAAGTGGCTTTAATAAAACAGATTTAGATTCTTTTATTATTCTAATCGGAATTTCATCATAACCTGATGACCATTTAGGTTTTAATTGGTCTATTATGGATATTAAAATTGGTTCATCAATTGTTTTGCACTTAAACTTAGTGTTTGAAGCAAAATTTTCAGAACTAGTTTGGGTTTTATTCAGATTTGGTAAAACATGATGTTCCACCATATCAGCAAAATTATTGTTTAATATATTTGAAACAGCATATGGGTCCTCTATTTCGGCACCATTCTGCATTAGTATAACATTATTATGCACCTTATCTTTTTTACTTTTAGTTTCAGAGTTCACAATCTGCCAAACAGTTTTGTTAACATTGGTCGAGTTCCTAATTTTATTGTTAAAATGATTTTTTTTCTTAAGCTTTATAATTTTTCTATATCTTTTTTTACGTTCTTTAATACAATTCTTTAACTTAATTACAAGTTAACTAATTAGTGCTCATAGATGAGAATCGACTTAAGTGCCAGAGGTCTTAAGTTACCATATGATCGCCATTTCAAAGTAAAGTATAAAGCACCAGTAGGCTTACAACTACTTCACTGTGAAATGCTGTGACAATCCAGATTCATTATTTATATTAACTGTTGGAAAAATATAATGTGTAACAACGAGTGCAAACTGCCTTTGCTGCACTCGAATAAACATTTCCCATCAACCCCCATCAACTATGTCAGCAACAAAAAATGTATGGCCTCGTCCTATAAAACTTATTACATATTGCTACACTTAACAACAAAGCTAACAATTCTTCTGACTTTCTGTTCCCACTAACTTACAACGTGTACATTTTTTTGCATAAATTTTACTTTGGTTTATGTTGAAATAATTATTTTTGAATAATTTGTTTTTACTTAAGTAACAAAAATTGTGTTCGTTTCAAACCAGATTTTTGTTTCAGCTGAACTTTACTCATTTACGCAGTTGCCTTCGGTTCTTTTGTTGAAATGCCCAGAAAATGTAGAAATAAAAACATACAGTCTTATATCCTCTTTGAAGGTAAGTTAGAATTTCTACTTTCTATATAAAATAAATATATAGGATGGAGAGGACACAGCTAACTCACCTGATGAAAGGTTGCAGACGAGTCAAAGAACACATAATACTTGATAGTTCTTGAGGCTTCTTCAGAAGTAGGCCTAGATGGCAGTTACATGCAGTTACAAGAACAAGGTTGTTCTTGTAACTGCCATCTAGGCCTACTTCTGAAGAAACCTCTGAAAGAGGCGAAATATCAAGTATTATTATGTGTGTGTTTTATGTATTCTTTGACTCGTCTGCAACCTTTCATCAGGTGAGTTGGCTGTGTCCTCTCCATCCTATATATTTATTTAATCCAAGCTAAATGCTTTTTCCTAAAATCATTACTTTCTATATAATAATTTTTAGTTTTTATTGAGAAATACACACATATATATTCACCTCTGTTATTTTCTTCTTGTTAGTTGTAGTACCTGTTAAATATTCAACCCGCACGAGGTAAAAGTAGAAAATTAGGACATACACCTAGCAATATGTTAATTAATACTTCGTAGCGTAGAATTTAGGTTACCCTGTGTACGCCGGTCGCCGAATCGCCACCAGCTCTATAATAACATCGTAATAAGCGTGTAGCAGGTTAGCAGCAGTGTCGATCTACGCATCGCTGGAACAAAGCAAAACTCTGTCTCAAAACTCAAAGTTATGGATTGAATTACGTCCTGGTCAAATATTTATTGTATTTTAAATAGGGATAGGCCGATATGAGAATTTCTTGATTCTATACCAGTTCTGAAATATTACTCACAATTCTTATATGGATTCCGTGTAAAAACTCATATTTTTAAGGAATTTGCCATGGTCAATGTTTTAGTATTTGTCTGTGTTCGTGTAGCAAGCAATGGCGGAACTGTACAGTAGAGTGTAGACACTAGACAGACGACACGATGACGTGATGACAATGTAATTCCTAATCAACCCTCGACTGTGGATTGAATTGATGTTTTAGCTTTGATTTTTAGTTTAGTTAATTTGTATGTAATTTGCGTTAATGTCGGGATTTTAAATGGTAATTGCTTGGATAATATTCAAGTTAACTAAACGTTTTATATGTCAAATTGAAGCTAAAAATAACTAAGTTTTGTTTCCCCTGTAGCAAGGGAGGAAACTTTGACCTTGGCATGCGTAAAACAGGTGCGGGGTGATAGGCCTGCTATTGTGGCTAATACGCCTGATTCCAGTCGCCAGTACGACGTTTACGACGCAACAGAAGGCACAGAATGTAATCTGTAGTTTGTGGAGTTTTATATCCATTGCTAAATTGAACTAAATTTAAATCTACTTGATGATAAAGAAACTTGATGCTGGTTTAATGAGTTTTGTGGCCCCGAAGTGTTTTGAAAAGACATTCACCTGGCCCCGGCTAAAAACAAGCGATGACATATCGAAGAAATCCGACGATTCTGCATCAGAAGCCGGAGAAAATCGATTGCCCAACAAAGTGTTCAGTTGAACAAACCTAAATTAGTCACTTCATGATATTATTTATAAAAGATATAGAGTATTTGTGCCGAAAAAGATTCAGTTAAGACATCAGATAAACCCGCCGATCGCCCTAAGCGTACAGACTTTGCCAGTTTTACGCTCATATAAGATTGATGAAAGTCTGAATTTTATTAAATATTCTGAATTGTATGAAAGAATGAGAAAAAAACTTTATTCTTTTCCCTTCAATTTGACGTTTAAATCGTTTAATTATCTTGAATAGTCCCCGAGCAACGACCGTTTGCAATCCTGGCATTCTTTTAAAAACACCCTGTACATAATTTTAATTGTAATAATTATGGTTTTTTACCAGTTTAAAGTTAATCATAAGTAACTATCGGCAAATATAACGTGAAAAATGTAACGTTAAAAACTGCTTCAGTAGGCCTAAGAAAACCATTTTTTACCATTAATTAATATGAGTATACAATATGTTTATTCATTGGTGGTTCATTAGGCTATGGAATATAAACATTTATTCTTGCCAAAAATAGACTTTTTGTACTGTCCCAGTTGATATGAGACCTTGACATTGATGATGTATTTGCCACTTTTTCATCGAATAGCTTGTAAAATGTGTTATAGCCTACTTTTAAGGAATTTGGTCGAAGACTAGTTGACAGTCACCTAAATGAACAAACTTGTTCCATATCCCTTATAATATTGACGATTTTACTATTTCCAATATTAAGTATCTCTATTGTATTAGTCTGAAAAACCACCAGTAGTATGAAACCACCAGAAAAACTTTTAAGCATGCAACTGGTATGTTTTAATGTTTTTCTGTTTCAGGGTCCATACCCTGAAAATATGAATGACTTTGATGAGTCAATTAAGGCACTGTTTGTTGTTTGTAAAAGCACCCATCGTAAAATTAGTGAAAAGATTTTAAATGCACTTGTAGACAGGTAAGTTGACAATTTGCACATTGCCCCAAATGTAATAGTCTAATCATAGTTGTTGGATTACCAAGCATTATTTTAATCATATTAAGCACCAATTCTTTGTGTATTGATTCCACAAAAATGTTAAATGGTGTTTGATGAATTATTTTGACTTTCCATCACGTTTAGAACATATTGACGAATTTCTGTGGGTGGCTCTTCTGTGATTTTTATCTAAAAGGTCATATAACTTGTATAATCAATGTAAATTTTGTTTTCCTACCAATGCATGGAAATGATCACATTGCCATATCTGTAAACAGTACGCAAAATAGCTCATTGCCGCTCTAGGGCCATTCCTGCTCACTAATCAGCTAATTTCACAGTTGTCGTTTCTACACCAACCACGGTTGCGGATCTGGTGCATTAGTTAAAACCGGTAAGTAAGTCACACAACCTTAAATAAAGCAAACATAACCTAAATAAAATGTTATATATAGGCTACATCTAAAATGTAGCTGGCTGAGCTAAAGCTAAAGCAACCATCTACAGTTCTCGAGCGGTAATGATGTACTTTGGGCTCTTAATCCACAAATAGCTATTGTCTGTGTTATGATTTTTACTTATTTACATTTAGGCTACTTGTTTTCAGCCGAGGACCGACATTTGCCTTGGGAGGGGGTATATCAGATGGATTCTTCTACAGGGAAGGCTACAATGAGTTTACAAAAGGAGGACTCTTCATAGAATTCAAGGGCGATAATGTAAAAGCACATTCAACATTGATAAATGAGAATGATACCGCCTCAATGGAAAATGCTATTGCAAAGGTATACAAGTGTTTCTCAAATAGCGCTTTTAGCGAATTTCCCTGTAGGGAAGTTGCTATTACCGTAGGTCTCATGGGTTTGACAATGTCATAATAAACAAGTCACAATAGTTTAAAACCAAGCAAGCTTTAAGAAACGAAAAATATGTTTTTGTTGTTTAACATCCTAATTAGGCCTAACTCTGAAAATGAATTTGTAATGCTTTCTCATGCTAACTACTGATCGATCTAGTTAACTCGTTAACTCATTATATAGAGTTAGCATTGTAAACTCAAACAAAAGTAACTTGTATCTAGCCCTTTTTGTTTTCCGTATTTTGATTTTTAAAATCTCCTCATGTAGTGTTTTTTGTAATTTTTGTTGTAATATGTTGAGCCCTGAAGGAAATCCTCTGATTTATGTGGCCCCACTCAGACATTACTATTAATTTGTAAATCTCTTGATGTTGTGATTTCAGCTAAGAGAGAACGCCGGTGAAGTTCCAGAAGATGGGGTTCAAGTGGCATTCATCGCCCAGTGTGTTGACCGAAGACATCTTGAGAAACAGGAAAGTAGTTTGTTTAGAAAATACTTCCCAAACACGCCTCAGTTTGGTTTCACAGCCTGGGGAGAGTTTGGATTAAAAAATGGAAACTCAGGTAGGCCTAACTTGTTTGTGTTTTTAGACTACTTGGTAACAATACAGAGCAGATGGTTATCTATTTTATAATAAGTACCAGGGGACCAAGCCTTGCTCTGTTGTATTTAATCGGGTTTAATCGTTGAAACAATATCGTTAACAGACATTTTATAATTTACGAATAACATTTTTATTACAAACCATAGACATTTGGTCGCTGAAAACAAAAATAATAATAATTAATACTAATAATAATAACTAAACAAAAATAATATACACTCTTATGATCTTGCTTAAGTGCTACTTGCACAGAATTTGTCTCCCCTCTAGTCATTGAAACCCATGGTTTGACTTATACGCTCACCGATTACGAAGATAAAAAGATGATATAAACAAAATCATATTAGTTTCAGAATGGCTTAGCTGACAACGATCATTCACTTTTTCGATTTGTAAAGAAATTGAGAACCTGTCTCTTTTTTATTGGGGTTCAGGATATGCTAGTAGTTTTATGCCAATCAAAACCCGCAGATGTAATTAGTTTGCTTGGAATGCCTCGGGCATTAATTTTTTGTGGATACGGCTAAGTAAGAAAATCAGTATTTGATCAATACTATTTTCCCCTATATCGAATAATCTTCAGTGTACAATCTGTGTTCAATAGTTACAAACAACTGATGTTTTTCCCTTTGTACTGTATTTTGTAGTTTGCTAGTGTACTGTAGATGTCTTGTTATAAATAAATGTGACAATTCTTTTCTTTACTGCCTCCTTGTTATTTTGTTCAACCAACATAGTCACTTGGCAACCCATAAGGCCAAAGTTAATTTTTTTTAAATTCTCTAATGAGTTGTGTAGAGAAATACAAATTTTCCTGAGGTAGTGGTGCTGCCAATCACGTTATATTACATACAGGCAGACAGACAAACAGACATAGCTCGTATTAGAGTATAGGATAGGATACAAAATGTGAGCTCCTCCTCTGCATCAAGTAAACATTAAGTGAAATGCATTTTGCATTAGTCAATTACTTTGTAGGCTACACCAATATTTCACATTTATACTGTTTGACTCTGTTGACCCCTAAGTGCCAAATTAGTCAAATGAGTTAATTAAGAGCCGAAGAGGGTCATAAAGCCCAAAACAAATTTCTCATTGATTCAAATCTACGATCCCATTAATTTTAACTAAGGGAGACAGAGGATAGGATAAGCTTACCTTTAGAAATGTTGGCATCCCACTTCACTACAGTAACACAGAAGAAAACACAAAAGAAACACCGGGTATTTCGAGGCCACTGACCCCTTTCTCAACATTGAGAGTTACATTAATTAGATACTTGGAGTAAAATGGGTTTGCTGTCAGAGGTAGTGTTTCACAATAGTTTTCTTATTTAGGTTCGCTCAACAATTAAAATAATTACAGAAAGTCTTATTTCTTTCAGAAGATTTGTATTTAAAATTTAAATTCAATTGAGGTTTATGTTTTACTGGATTACCGTAGTCAAATTAGGAATTCACAGGATTAAAAGATCAAACTTCACTAGATTCACTGATATAAATAAATGAAAGAATCTTTGGCGACCAGGTCTTTTCTGTAGTAAAGAATTTCCTTTTATGTCATTATCTAGTCTAAACTTTTAAACCTAAATAGTTAATTTATTTTATCAAAATCTTAAGAAATATGTCTTTGTTAACCCTACTATTAGAATTAACTCTTTAATGACTGTAATTTTTTCAGAGGAACCCCCAAAGCAAAATAAAAGCAAGAAAAAGAAGCTTGAATTTAGTTATGTGTTTACGACTTCCATCTTGATTGTAACAATAAGGAAGACAAAGACGTAAGACAGAGAAAACTGTGAAGACTTTTTCTTATGTTGCTTTAGTGAGTATTATTATACAACGGACTCAAGATTTATACAGACTTTTGTTTGATTCTCAGGGACCATTTATTCAATATGTAGGCTATGTTTTATTGTTTTTGCAATTTACATTAACATTGATTACCACTCATTATAAGTTATTTTTAGTTTTAGTTGTTTGTTAAGAAGCAAAAGTTAATTTATTTGTGATATTTACAACATTTTTTTACCATAAAGGCCAAATGTATGGTAACTGTAGCAATATTATAAGATTATATTTACCGTGTTGTGAAATTAAATATTCAGCTACCATAGTGAATAACATTTGTTTTAATTAATTCCAACAATAGTTTTCATTGGTAAATTTAAATTTACAGAATAAAAGTCATTGAGTAAACAATTTGTTCCTTAGTAGGCAGTATTAGTCCAATCAAAATTGTAACGGGTAATTGTGTTAAATTTTCTGTTATAATTACCCAAAGGCAGCTCCAGACAAAAGCTGTTAGTTTTTTGTCCATTTCAGGAATAGCAAATATTTGTTTACTTTGATGTGTGCAAAAATACTGATAATGAACGGGAAAACTTGAATACGAATGTTTGCTGCTTGGCGAATGGCGCATGTGTGGAGCTGCCTTAAGAAAAGTATTAAGTTTTGGAATTCATTTAAATAGAAGTACCTACTCAGGTCCTCGAATGATTTGGGGTGCTGAATCCCATTGTGAGTTTGCTAACACAGTGATTGTAAACTACAAAATGTTTAAATCAAAAGTTACCCTTGAGGGTCAAATAAATTGTTAGCCTATGTACTTTCATTTCCGACCAAGTTTTGATAGTTTTTTTAATTTTTTATGTACTGTTGGGTTATAAAGCTAGAGAACAAAATATTGCTTAAGATTAGATCATTTTATTCAGTTTAAAATAGTTTTGACACAACAAGAAACAAATTGCCCCTACATAAAAAATCAAAAATCTATTAGCGTGTTTAAAGTGCTATGCACCGATATATCGTTGTGCGTCTTTTTCCCGAAAAGTGCTATGGAACGATATATCGTTGTTCGAATTTCATCCGAAAAGCGCTAAGCGTGGTGGCGCGACTTTCGATCATGTGAGTATAAATGAGCATATCGGTTGACTCGGTTGTAGTTTCGAAACAGCGATGGTTTTTTTTTTTCGATTCTTCATAAGATCGGGCCCGATATATCGTTCCTTAGCACTTTTAAGATAAAAATTTTTATTTTTACAAATTTTTTTTCTCGCACACTAGACTTCGCCCCTGTGGCAAGCCTAGCACTTTTCGGACGAAATAAGTGAATAACTCTATCACTCTTCGGAAAATTACTTATTAACATTCTAGCACCGAAAGGGTTAATCTAAAATATTTTTATTTTTCAACTTAAGTTTGTTTCAATTAGAGTGACGTGCAGGATGTGAATGCATACACAAACCCTTCCTCTACCATAACTTTTATTATTTTGTGCAACCATCCCAACAATTAATCAATTTAAAACTTAGCGTCTAGTAGTGTCTCAGTGTAGTTGGAAGCCTTCCCTAATTCCAACTTATACCCTGTCCTAATTGACACGATTTATACCTGCGTGGGTTATTAATTACTAGGAACTCATTTAAAAAAGTGTTTTCCTTGTTTGATTTAAGTCTTAGGTTTTATATCAGTTTTGTTTGATATTTTTCTTCATTTTTTGGGAAGAAATACAAAATTGTATGTACCTTTCTCAAACGACATTGTAAAAACTAAAATAAACCTTATTTATTGCAAATAGAATTTGAACAATTATTTACTTAGTGCTCCTAATGAGAAAAACTATTTACACCTGTGCAAAACATATTGTTTGTATGATATCACCTCATACAGAGGTAAATAAGACGTCAAGCGTTATTTAAAAGTGAATGGTTTATTATAACTTAAACAATCAAAGGTTCACACTGTACAGTATGTACCTCGTTAGTTCCGTGGTCCACACAAGCGTTGACAGGCCAGCCTTCACTTATGTGTGTGTACTCGGTTAGATACATCGCTGGTGTTGCCATAATCTGCAATACAGATTAGTGCAATTATAACCATGACTGCCCTTAACATATAGCAATATAAATGTCTGAATTTTTTAAAACAATTGTGGGGTTTTAGTGATTTGTAAAAGTTAGACAAATCATAATTCTATACTGGTATCCCTGCATTCAGTAGCTTAAGCAATTTGTTGAAACTAGTGATGATCAAAACCAGAATTTTTAAATCCTAAAACCGAGACCTAAACTGGTGAATCGTCAGTGGGTGTGTTCAAAGCAAGGCCTCCAAGAAGCCCAGACTTGGTTCTGTGTAATTTAGTAAAAAAAAAACTTGACTTATCTTAGAGAAAGAATCACATAATCCAGTGTCCATTGTGATAAGATAAATATGCAAAGAGTTGGCTGAAGCAGAAATAAACTATTGAAAGGGTGTAAGTAAAATAAGATAAATGTCTATTGGTTAATAATTGAGGTTCTACAATTCGCTGAAACCCAGGATCGGATACATGATTTAAAAAGCTGTTGAACGATGAACATATTTACCTGTCCCCGAGACGCAGGGTAAGGGGCGGCTACAAATTCAACTTCAGGATCAAAATATACCAAATCACTCTTTGTCAGTGGATGGCCAAAACTCGCTGTAGTCTCAGATTTTAACCCTCTGGAAAAAAGAAACAGACAAAAGTTACTGCGCAAGATAGAAATCAATTTGATTCTTTTATAAGTCATTAACATGGTCTCTGTGTGTAATTACTTTACTTACAATAGTTTCAATGAGTTTGAAGAATTTCCATCAAAATTGTCTGGGTAGACAACTATACTTAGTTCACAAAATTTAGGCGCTTTTAGGGGAAGAAATCCATCCCCTCCACTTCACCATCCTGCCATTACAGTAAAACCCCTCTTATCCGAGGAGTGTGTTAACAGTGTTGAACCAAGCCTCTGGTCGGATAAACCAACCTATTATTAAATGATAATTTGTATCTAATAACAACCTGTGATTGGTTAAAAGTAGTGTTTAAATCTCTTTTTGGAATCTACTAGCTTAATTGAGTAGTGAACCCACTAAAAATGTATATGAACAGAAAACCGATAAACCGTGAGAACGCTCAAATCAAGAAGACTATGTGTATAGTAGTGGGAAATATTTTTTGTAATCGATTCCGGGAAGTGACCGGATAAACCGAGGACCTGATATTAGGGGTTCTAATGTAAAATAATAGCTTAACAGATGAAGTTTGCCAAAACGACAATCAGCTTCTACATATATAATAGGCAAAAAGAGTATAGGGGGAACCCTCCCGTCAAACTGCCTAAATTATTTGATCGGAGTATAGTAATAGTGCTTGCCATAAAATCTAATGGTCATGGTTCAATTCCAAGCGAGATTAATTCTTACCCAGTTGTAATTTTTCTTGGGCTCAACACAAGATTAGGGTTTGGACCATTCCCGTATAACAACGTAAAAAGATGCTAACAACGTTATTTAGACACACACACTAAATAAATATCAATCTTAGGGGCTTAAGTTCAAGACCAGTAATGTTATCAATTCTTTAATGTGTTTTGGATTTCTCACCAAACTTAGAATCAGTTTTCTCTTAAACATTCCTTTTACAGCTTACTTAACTGATTTTTACGATTGAGGTGTCGTTTGGATCTTATGTTATAGCAGAGGGATGAATGGTAACTGAAATGGCAGAATTCCCTTTAGGGATTCCCCCCACCCCTGAGGAGTTGATTTATTTTATATCCAGAGTTTGCTTTCAAAGATCCTTAATCCAGTGAAGCTGAGTGTTGCCTCATTAAAACTTTTTAAATGTGAAATTTAATTTAACAGTTGACCCTTTAGTTGATTAACCAAAGTCAGATTGTAAACAAGAAACATTGGTTTATGAAAATGGATTTTAAATACACTACTTTTATTATGACTTTAACCTGATTGAAGTGTGTAGATCTTTTTTTCTGGTGTTGATTTAAAATTAACAAATTCAGTTTATTGTAAATTAGTAGATTAATCACTTACTAACTGTCTTAAAACCAACATAATTCTAGAATAGTAAAAGGTCATTGCATTACTCGTTTTTCCCTGGGAACAAGTTTTGGGCCCTATTAACATGCGCAATTTGCGAACAGGTCCACTCCTTATAAGAACAGTAACCTTATTTGGTAAAAGACTAAAATAAAAAAAGGGTTCTTAGAAAAAATAAAACATATACAGTAAATTAGGTAAAATATTGCAGAAAAACTCACGAATGAGGAACAAAGCGATGTGGTCGATGAACACTGTTGTTGAAACAAGCTTTTTTGAACACTGCTTTGTCATAGACTGGCTTGACCCGTGGAGTTAAAATAGAAGTTACATCAATCGGTTTGCTTCTATAAAAATCTGCGTCATTCTAGAAAAGATTATGTTGAATTTAAAATGTCACTAATGCTTGTATGCATGTACTTAGCATCAAATATTTTAATTCTTATACATATCATGTTTTAAGCCATAAAATGACTGCAACCATGTACACCGGTTCATATTAATCATCATTAAACATTATGCTTATGCAGTGTGATGGTTTCCACATGCAACAAGAACAATGAATCGTAGTCCTAGGACGCTAGTCTCAAGCCCAGGATTGTTTTTCACATTACTTCAGGTTAGACCTAGAGTTTGCGTTTGCAGCATAAAACTTAGATAAAATATCATTGGTGATTTGCCGGGATTTTAACTCGGTACCTCTGGGTCCAAAGTTCCGCGCTCTACCAGATCAGCTCACTCCAGGTGGTTGGTATATTATATATAACATTACACTTTTCACTTTAAGCTACATTTAGCGAGCACAACCCAAAAATTAGATACCTGTAAACTATGCATGTCTTGTGCTTCAACCTGGAATCCAATTCGTTCTCTAATACACTGTAGAGTGTTGTACCAGTATTCTTAGTTTGCTAGACCAATGGGATGACAGAGGGCGTGGTTTTGGACCCTGAGGTCCTGTGTTCTAAACCCGCTAATGGCAACCCTGATAATGCTGTGACCCTCTAGGTAATTCTTGGCGACAGCTTAGTTACTTTTTATTCATCCTTTCTTTTGTTCCTGGCATTACCACTTGGATAAAATCCATTGGTGATTTGGCGGGATTCAAACCTAGGACTTGAGGGACAGAAGTTCTGCGCTCTTAGACCAGCTTGTTTCCCTTTGTCCTGACTCTTTGTTTATCAGGAACTGACCAAAATCTTGTTTAACGAGGATTTTAAATTTTAAAATATTGGAAACAACCATTGAAACAGACACAGCGAAATCATCAATCTCTGGTGTTAAAAGGGTTAAAATTGTTATACACAATATTACATATATACATTCACAATTAGGCTTACTCTGTGTATATAATGGTGAGAGAGGTGGGTGGTGGAGATGTAAGGATCTAAAAGTCTTGTGAATCCTTGATACTCAAACCCTGTCACCAGTGGGGACTGACTAGTGTCTCGCTTAACCTACAAAACACAATTAGTTAATATGTTGAAAGACACTATGGACATTTTGATCTCAACACTAGATTTTAATTTGAAATACTTGAACTGGAACTTACCATGAGCTATGACGCTTCTATTTATCTATGATCATTAACTATAATATTCCTTTAATTCCCCTCCTTTCCCGTAGAGACAATTTTATATTTAGCATAAAAAATTATCCATAAAGAAATATCTCTTTATAATACTTGGAAACTTATTAATTACTTGGATTATTAATTACTTATTAATTAAACTTGGAAACTATTCTCTTTGGAAAGAGGTACTGAAATGCCATTTGACTACATCCTCCCAATTAAATTTTGGACAATCAAATAGACACACCTTTATAGACCAACTGCAGCCATATTTTATTCCAAAGTTGAATTAGCCTCCCGAGTGTGTGTCAGTCTACAAACATATTTATCCTTTTGACAGTTCAGTTTGGCTTGGTTATGAAATGGTGTATTGAACGGAAATCAGTAATCAGGGCCGTCCCTAGTGTTAGCGGCGCCCGGGGCAAATGTGGTTGTGGTGCCCCCCCCCCCCCCCCCAGTAATAGTCGCATTCGCATATTTTAATACTATGTTAATACGGGATGGACAGGATTGAGTTTTTAGTTCGGGGCGGGATTTTTTCCTGTGCATAAATAACAGTCTTGAGTATTGCAGTTACCAAAAAAGACAAACAAAATTAATTTTTACCATTTGTGGCACTGATCTATCAAAACCAAAAAAGGGTAAAAATTTACAGGTATAGAAACTTGTGACTCACGGTCGAAATGTCTCGCGGTCACAGCGTGATCGTCGGTATGACTCGCGGTCACGGCGTTATCGTCGGTATGACTCGCAGTCACGGCGTTATCGTCGGTATGACTCGCGGTCACGGTGCGATTGTCTGTATGACTCCGCGGTCACGATGCAATCGTCGGTATGGCTCCACGATCGTCCAAATGATTTGCGGTCACGGTGCGATCGTCGAAATGACTTCGCCTCCTGCGTTCATAGAATTACCGTGAACAACGCCCGCGATAGCGGCGTCATCGTAACTCGCGAAGCGGCAAAATCGCCAATGATCGGATCAAATCCCGTCCCGAAAAATTCCCGAATCAAATGTAATCACGTCCTGATAATCGGGATTTTTCCCGAAAATTTCCCGAAATTTCGGGTTAATACCAATAGCCGCTGCGCGGCGCCCCCTCAGCCGCGGCGCCCGGGGCAGCTT